AAAAAAAAAAAAAAAAAGCTGAGCAATGTGGTGAACACCTATAGTCCTAGCTACTTGGGAGGCTGAGGCAAGAGGAGCACTTGAGCCGAAGAGTTTGAGGTTTCTGTAAGCTATGAGGCCACTACACTCAACCCCAGTGAGACTGAGACTCTGTCTCAAAAAAGAATAAAAGAGGGGAAATCACCACAAAGCCTGTGAACATTCAAAGAATAATAAAGAATACTCCACAAACAACTATATACATACATTTGATAACTTACACACAATGGGCCAATTCCTTAAAACCTACAAACTACCAAACTCACCCAAGATGAAATAGATAACCTGAATATCTTATAACTATTCAGGAAATTGAATTCATAGTTTTGGGTGGGTTTTTTTTGTTTGTTTGTTTTTAGAACTCAGTCATCCTGGGGTTGAATGCCATAGTGTCATCATAGATCACAGCAACCTCAAACTCGGGCTCAAGCAATCATATCCAGCTATCTATCCTATAAACATATCATAACCATGTGAAGTTTATTACAAAACTTCAAGGCTGACTCAATATTCAAAAATCAGTCAGTATAATCCATCATATTAATAGTCATAAGAAAAACTACATGATTATTATCAATTGCTACAGAGAAACATTGATAAAACTCAATACCTGGTAATGATAAAAATTCTTAAGAAACTAGTAAGAGAAGGGAAACTTTCTCAACTTAAAGGGTAACTACAAATGCCTATAGCTAACATCATATTCAATGATGAAAGATTGAATACTTTCTCCCTAAGACTGGGACCAAGGCAAGATGTCCACTCTCACCGCTGCCAATACAATTCAACATTGTATTGAAAATCCTAGCCAATGCAATAAAGCAAGAAAAAGAAATAAGAGGCAAACTGGGCATGGCAAACTGTATTCCTAGCACTCTGGCAGGCTCAGGTGGGTAGATTACTTGAGCTTAGGAGTTTAAGATCAGCTTGACCAAGAGTGAGACCCCATCTCTACTAAAAATAGAAAAACTAGGCAGGTGTTGTGCCAGGCACCTATAATCTTGGCTACTCAGGAAGTTTGAGGCAAGAGGATCGCTTGAGCCCAAGAGTTTGACACCACAGCATTCTAGCCTGGGAGACAAAGTGTGACTCTGTCTCAAAAGAAAAAAGAAAGGAAGGAAGGGGCATACAGATTGGAGAGGAAGAAATAAAATTGTCCTTATTTGCATACGATATGATTATCTGCATAGAAAACCCCAAAGAATCTACAAAAGTCTCCTAGAACATACATGAGTTTAGCAGGGTTACAGGATACAATGTCAACACACAAAAATTAAATTTATATATATTTTTCTACATATTAGCAATAAACAACTGGGAACCAAAAAGTTCTTTTGTATAGCCATGTATAATCGCTCTAATTTTTTTTAAATATTTAGATATAAATCTAACAAAATATGTATAGGAGCTATATGTTAAACCTATTGTGTTAAATAAAATATATGAAACCTAATTTCATCTGTTTCTTTAAATTTTTTAATGTGGCTACTATAA